ACGATCCATATTCAGCTGACTTCTTATAATTCAGTTAATGGGATGGTTGTACTTAGATTTTTTAAAAGTCATCGTTTTAAGTAAATGTTATACAAAATCTAATATCACTTGAAAAGTTTATATCTTCCTGCTATCAATATTTGGAACCGCAGAAAACTAATATTTGTTGGTAAATGGGTTCTTTGAAATTATTCACTGGTGAGCACATGATACCACTACATAGTGAATTGCTTAAAGTCAATAATATGAACCACTGAATTTTCACTCAGGGGTACAAACACTAAACTTTCATTATGAGACTTGAAGGTTATGAGTTTGGTCCATGGTGGAACCATGGATTCCCAATTCTTAGGAGTATCAAATCAGGACGAAATAGCTGTCTAGTGCTTCTTGTTCCAAATGCCTGTTTAACCATGGTCGATCCTAAAAGTTACTTATAAAGTTCAACAACCTACACAACCCTCCTACATAGGAATGAAATAAAACAGATTATAGAATATAGGTATATTGAGTTAATATAGATTAGTTAAAATCAGGCTATAAAAACTAGTTAGTTTACGTATTAAGTTGTTTCTGGTAGAACATGATATCACCGACAAATAACTAGATAGAAATAGTTTTGAAGTCAAGTACTGATATAAAATGAAAACCTAGTTCGTAACGTTATATATTCCTTTGTGAGTATTGTTTGACAGTGAAGGATACCAAGTGAATATATATAAACACTTCTTACTTAGTGCACTGAATTAGATGTAGATATATTCCTTGACTAGGCTAACTGATACTCCTTGTATCACCCAGTTTCGTCTCAAAAATATTGTCAGCATATTCCTACTAACCGTCAGATTTTTCAGTCAGTACTAATGAATTTGATAAGTAATGCCCCGAGTTTTGCTATGGACTCACCCTCGTGCTCAAACCTGTCGAACATTTGTTCCATGTGATAGATTTATGACATTTTTGTTTAGATGATGGCATTTCTTACTTTCAATTCAATTCCCACCTCACTAAATGAAGAATATCTTAATTAAACTTAGGGTTCTCGTCAAGAGACTAATTACTAAACATATGTTTCATCATTAATTTTAGGATTTTTAGTGGAATAATTTTCTACTATTCCCTGAGAATTTACATGCAAATACCTCATAGTTTTACACGTATCGACAATAATGAAATTACAGTGAATTATCGAAAGTGTATCTACTCAAATGCAGTGTTATACTACTGATCATGATCTTATCAAGAAGGTTACATGTAATTCCGTTTTATTTGATGAGTTGTGTCCGTTTACCAACAAGTTTGGTTTTTTCATTAAGATATTTTATTGACTAAAGCATACAAATACACTCAAAGTTTTGTTACTTCAGTATAGATAGCTAACAAAATAGAGTAAATTTGTCAGTTTAGAAAACAAATTTTCCTTCTGTTTATCGGAACGTTTTCAAAAAAAAAGGAAAATGTCAATTTTTACACCAATCGCTTTCATGATTAAATATATTAGACAACTTCAAATATGCACTTGACTAGTCTTGATCATTAATAACCGGTTCAGAAAAGTTTAATGCAGCTTGACCATAATTAACATTTTACATAAATCATTAAAGGAAGGAAATATTTTTCGGGTAAAAGTCTACTTCATATAAATAAAATGTATTAGAATGACGAGTGAGAATGTTAGAGATTAAAATAATTTAGACTATTTTTATATGTTACATAGAATTAATTTTCAATGAAAACTTATATCAATTGATGAACAAAAATAAGAAATTGAGATCAATAGAAATGTCAAACGGCTTTTCCATTTTATTATGTTTATTGTATAACGTAAATGGTTCTGTGTTTATTGTCCTGAATCAGATTAGGAAAAGCTTCTGTTCACCGTTCCATGTTCATGAAACAGTTTAGCATTAGGCGTCATTTTACTATCGAACTTCATTTTATACTACTCTCATCATAAAGCCATCGATATATATACATATATAAGAGGAGTCCGACAATAGGACGAAACGGCCGTCCAGTGGGTCCAGGTTTCCCATGGCGGTCTAGTTTCAATTGACTCATGATCTCAACTATTGAAATTACTATAATATCCACAAAATCCCCTTCTGATATATATAATTCCTATAAGAAGTTGGCGCATATTAATAAAATTTCTTGCAAAACGTTCAACAATGATCTTAGTTAGCAACCACAAAATACAGAAAGCATTAGACAATCAATTTATTTTAATATAGAACTAATCAGAAATACATAACCACGATCCCATCAGGGAACGAGCCTAGAGTGTTTGCTATGATTCGCAAACGCTTAACCTTATATATAACTGTTAAACTTTTAGATATTTAAACCATCATACGAATATATTGGAAAAAATGCATGATATATTAATAAGAAATGGTCGCGTTATCCTAGGCCATAGAATGACTTAAAGATTAGCAAGGTAAATTCAAGGTTACGACAAATTGCTTTTGTACACATAAGGGGAGTTTAAATTTACGAATAGCCAAGGCTTCAATAAACTTAAGAATTCGACCTTGACAATTCTATACAACGCTTTAAATGCTGTATTAATGTTAATTTTGTGCCCCGTCTCAATTATATGTTTCGCTATCGATGAACTTGGTTTTCTACCTCCTACATTGATCGGATCATTTGACACACACTGATTTTGAAGCCATCTGGGCACATGTTCATTGCCCCTTGATTGCATTGTTTGATTACTCCTCCCTATATATTAACCAATTTCTCTTAACATTTTACAATGAAATTTTGATCAGAAATGCGGCAACTATTTCCTTATAACTATTTAATTATGATCAAAATAATTCGTTATGATATTTTTATGTTAGATGTTAATAGTTTTATATACAGATACAAGTGAGTTATTATGGTAAATACAGGTGTTGAATATATATATATATATATATATATATATATATATATATATATATATATATATATAATTACAGGTCACTTGTTCGTGATGTCTAGTCAGATCAAAGTAATTGCTGAATCTGAAATAAGTTCAAATGGCTACCTTAATAATATATTATATGAACACATTTGTCTGTATTTTAACATAGGGAACTATTTATTTGTTGATATTTGTCATTTATATATTTGTATATATTTCTTAATATTGATTTTTTGGAAGGAAGGTGAAAAGTTCACTTATTTATTTATAAATTAATATAAATTTATCAGCAACAGGATCAGTTTACATCCTTATTTTTTATTAAATAATTACCCAGGCACTTATATATTCTTATTCGAACTCTTTAAAATGTATGTATACATCATAGATTACATAACGGATTAACCCCAGTGAAAGCCTGGATGGAGTCGTAAATGTGCACTCTTGACGAATCCTACACAAAGATGAAACAGCTATTCGATGCCTTTCAATTTTCGGTGGATGTACGACTAAGATCAGTCAGTGGTATAACCTAGGAAATTCAACAATTTAAAATCTCAAAGAATGTTAAAGGACTTTCACTAACTACCTTGACAACTGAGCACACTTAAGCAAAACAACAATATGTGTTAGACCTGCCTTTTCGGAATGTAATATAATGTCAGTATACAAATAAATAATAGCACTTTATTGGCCCCCAAATGCCCTGGTACCACAGAGGGTGGGGAGAGTCTGCTCTCTCTCTTCAAATGCTCTGACATGGTTATGCGTATACAGCCACTGCCAGAGAAGTCCTACTCACTGCCTTCTCGTGGCTGGGGTGTTGTTTACGAAATTTAGAAGACGAAAAGCGAGTGTCCGGCGCTTTAATTGGGTTGGTGGACTCGGACGGCTGACCTAGGGAGTCAGGAAACCCTGATTTCAAACCAATGGTGCATATGGGCTCCAGTATCCTGTGGGAACAATAGGTGTGTGAACCTATTGTTGGTCACTGGCTACCATGGAACTGCATGTCCTTACGATGCTTCACTGCCATGTGGATCAGACCTTTAATTAAAAGGTTCAGGGTGTATCCTTCTATGGTAACCACCTGTTTCGGCCTGGGCACACGGAAAGTACCACGGCTCACACACAAATCATTTGACTCGTGTGGCGCATATGTATTTGGTGCCCCTTTGTACTAATATTTATGTGTTCAAATAAACAAATAAATAAAAGCGCTTCGTTAAGCATACATAATAGAATTCTTCTGATAAAGCATTTCCATCGTGCTTCTGTTTAAATATTTTACGATAGCTACTTTCTTTTACAGATATTTTGGATGTGGGTGTTAATAGTAAACATTCATATTTACTATTTTACGATAGTTATAAGCCAGGGTGACTCAAATGAGAGTGTAAAAATGACTAATAAAGATTAGAATGGTTGATGTTTGTTAATTACTCACCTTATTCATAGAATCAATAAATTAATCCTAATGTAATGAACTTTAGAAGATAAAATCATTAGTGAATTCACCAAATATATATTAGGACGTTGAAAGAGTTATTTTCAAACAAACTATTCAACTAGTATAGTATAACTCATCAAATAGCAAACGATTATTCAAGGCTTACAGTGAGTGTTATGAAACAACCAATAATCTCTAACTTATGCTATATCAAAGTGTTCTTTTTTGTGTTAAAATTCGTTTTTACCGTAAGTGATTCTTTGAAGTAAATAAATTTATGAAAGTGACGGGTAGACAACAGTTTATCCAAAGTTTGGTTGAAGTTGGAATAACGATCTATCATTCAAAGGTGTGCAAAATAATTAATGAATCATGTGTAATGGAATCGAAGTTTTAACCTTCTGGTCCCTCCCCCATGCAAAGATCAGATATTAGTCATAATTTTTGAACTGTAGCTCATAATTTCAAAAAGGGTGAAATAACGTAAATCGGTCACTCAGGCGTAAACGTATCTCATATCGATCCGTAAGATAATTCTAATCTATTTCTGATAACATGATGAATTTTTAATCTGATTATTTTTTATATGACTAGTTGATACTTTATTTTTGTTTTTGTATCCATTTACTTATGTAGAGATTTTATGTATTAATGCCCCAGTCAACTGTTCAATTAAAAAGTCCACTACTTCATACATTATTAGAAAATTTAACTCAATCATCAATTTGTACTTCTACAGCAATATGGCATGTTCCAAATCCTGTAAATTTTATATGTCAATATAATGATAATTCATTTGATAATAAAAACAACTTGTTTACTGATATCTCAATCAATAATCATAATTGTTTTAATAAAAATTTACAAAAATATGAGGAAAAACAACAAATTACCATGATTATGAACAACAGATACAATGGTCAAATGAAGAGATTCATTCAAATCAAGAATCTAATGAAATTTATACAGTGACATTTTTAAAATTAAATAATGCAGCAAATCGTGTAGCAATGAATTTAGCTAATTATTTAGAACGTAAATGGTCAAGTATAACCAATAAAATCAATAGAACTCAATTAAATCAACATAGTTCATCAATAGATCAACCAATTGAGTTTAGAAATCAATCAGATACAGTGATTGCATTATTTATGCCTCCAGGAATAGATCGTATTGTAGTTCAAGTACGTGAGTAACTATAAATGACATTTAATAATATAAGTGATTTATGTTTAGTTTAAAATTCTTCATGTAAAACAAATGTATATTTGAAGAATTTAATATTAAGAAAGGAGAAGTAGTACTTTGTAAATAGGTGCATGTGAACATTAGGACAAATGTCACAAGCGGTATGTGAACCTTCATATTTTTTACTTTTTTTGTCAGTAATTGTCACTAGAAATTCAACTTCTGAATTTATGATTAAATATGGTTTTAACCAGAGAGGGGTATAGTGGATAGTATAGTAGTTTAATATTGATTCGACACTCCTCCGATTCACTTCCTTTGATTCTGTAGATTACTTTAAAAGAAGAATCCTTTGGAGCGGTGTGTTCACAGTATGTTAAATGCTCCTGTATAGAACTAGTAGTTGTTTCACATTCTCCTTTTAAAAGCCAAGCCGGATAGTGTTCTGAGATGCGTTTGGAAAGTGATTGCTTTGTGCGGCCTATGTAATGTGACCCATATGAGCAGGTAAATTTAAAAATGCACATTGATATGGCCAAAAGCGGAAGCTTATCCTTAACACATCCAGGAATGGTAGGCCGGCTTGAGAAAACTATACGGAGCATAGCTGCGTAGAACGTTTTATTCAATACAGAAGCACTTAATCAACTGTGGACATACCGCTCCAAAGGATTCTTCTTTTAAAGCAATCTACAGAGTCAGAGGAATTGAATCAAAGGAGTGTCGAATCAATATTTTATGAACTGTTGAGACATTGGCAATACACGAACCCGGGCCCGAACTTTGCGTGCAGAAACGACTCGTCCACCTCTCATCCTTCTTTGGCCCTAAACTCTTAATGGCTATGTTTCGTTTTTTTCTCCACTCTTATTTGTTTATTACTGAATTTTCTTATTAATTTAATAGTTGAATTCATGTGTCAATTGAATCTAGACAACCATGGAAAACCTAGAAACACTGGACGACCGTTTCGTCCTAGTATAGGTTAAGTTAGACGTTTACACGATTGAGTGCCGGCCCAGTGGTCTAGAGGTTAAGCGCTCGCGCGCAAGATTGATAGATCCTGTGTTCGAATCTCATGAGGCGGGATCGTGGATGCGCACTGCTGAGGAGTCCTATACTAAGACGAAACGGTCGTCCAGTGACTTCAGGTTTTCCATGGCGGTCTAACTTTAATTGACTCATGAATTCAAATCTTAAATATGACTTGCTAAAGGTTAATATCAGGGAAAAAAGCATAAATTTTAGAGAAGGTTAGCGTAGTTTGTTGTGACGAAATGTGCAAAAGTATTCCTTGTATTTTAACCGTGTTCTTTTTATCTATATTTGATAAAATAATATACATAAGTCACTATTCTACGTAAAAATGTTTCGAGTGACAATAGGTAATAAGTAAATAAATATTTCTAGTAAAACGTTCACATAATTATACTTATATTGAAATGACCTATTTTAATATTTATCATTGACTTGGATGATTTGGTTTTGAAATGTTTTAATCTCTTACAATATAAAAATGAGGAAATAGTGTTAGTCACTTACATTTTTTAGTAATACTCATCAGTTAACAAAGGAAATGATTAAATCTTTATAAATTTATATATGAAAGCAACTGTAGTCATAATGTTAGTACGTCGGTCATCCTTATCCATTAAAACCAATCCATAAAGTGCAGTCTACTTTAAATAAATTAATGCAAAGACCTTGTAAGGGACGTATCGTGTAACATTGCTAATGAAGTCAAGTTTTCTAAACTTTATAGATCACTAAAATAGATGATCTACGTTGAATGATTGGAGGCCTACTCGAATTAGACGGGAATGGTATGACTAACCAGCTAACTTCGAAATTACACCTCGCGGTCAGCATCTAACGTGGATTATCTCTTCAACGTATCAAAGTACTATGACTGCTTTGAAGACCGTATAGCACAAGGGACATTATTATGGAAATATATTAGTAAGAATGAGTACAGAGAAAATAGCGAGACTACGATTGCATGGGCTAGTCCACAGCATACAGTTAACTGATATGCGGTGGTTGTCCTTGACTTTGACAGGGATTGATGATCTGCTCGATATTCAGTGACTCAACTGCCGGATGATTTAGCTAGGGTTCATTAACATTTCACTGACCCTACAACCTTTTATCAATAAACTTAAATATTTAATCGCACATGATTCGCAGCTGTCACACTTATAATTCAAGATTGGTCTGCACTATTATCCCACTGAAAAATGGAGCTCCACAGCCTAAGCATCAACGTGAATTGGGAACGTATGGGCAAGCCTAGTCAGTTCTGACACCTTACTAATATGAACTAATTATTAATAAAATTACGCAAAATCACCGTTAAAGATGGATTATCACGAAATTACGGACGTTCAGCTTTCTATTCTGTCGAATTAATAGCTAGCATAATGTTTACTTGAGTGAAAATTATTGTGGTTTCATAATTGGAACGTAAACTCGTTCGTCAGATTATTTTATGCTATTTTTTAGAGAGATCAATAAATATACTGAATCATTACCATTTAACCACAGTATAAACCATTACAAGAACAAAAACCACAGAGGGATAAGAAGACATAAACCCTTCTAGGATTATCTCTAGGTTGTGTGAATTAAGATCAGTCGTTACTATATGTACTAACTCAGGCTTTATTTGATCGTAGTAATAAGTAATGTGTCACCTTAAAACTGTTTACGTTTATATTTTTGATCAGTTTGACAATTTAGGTATTTTATTCATTACGTCAGTTCAAAATGTACTGTAATAAAATAGATTTAATACTTTATCACTATATATTGTAAGTAAATTTCGATAGTCAACTAAAATACTAAAGATTGGGATTAATTAGTAACTTTTAAGAATAATATACATTATAGACTTAAATCAAGAAGTAAACTAATTGAAAATAGTAAACACTTTAGGAATATTATGAGAAGAGGTTTGTGAAGATTTTAGAAATTTCACAGATTGAAATCATGAGTCAATTGAAGCTAGACCAGCATGGAAAATCTGGAAGCACTGGACGGCCGTTTCGTCCTAGTATGGGACTCCTGGGTTCAAATCTCGCGGGGTGCGGGATCATGGATGCTCACCTTAGGAATACTCAATTGTATACATTCATAATCTCAAATGTAATCCAACTATTAATACTGTTTAATTAATTTTAATCTTTGAATTTGGTTATTACTAAGCAATTTATGAATCATCAAACAAAAATGTTCGTATTATTTTAATTGACATATTTACTATTCATGAATAATATTTCTCATTACGTCAACAAAACTAATAAATAATCAAGTTATACATGAATAAGTATTCAGATTGTTTGTTTTGTCTGAAACAGTAATTGTCTTTACTTAATTTCTTTAAGTAAACGTTTACAGGAATACAGTTGGTTATCAGAAAAAAGGAAAGAAAAAAAAGAAAAACACAAAATTAAAGTACAATCTGAAAAAAAAACAATTAATTTTAAATCTAGAAAACGTCTCTAGTTACAAAAAATAGTCTAGAAAAACACTTTTGGGTTACGTAAATAGTTATGACAAACCGAAGTAGGGTAGATGTACATTAAAATGAGCATAAAAAGACTACTGTTTTATTTTCACAGTCATACAGCCAAATGTAATAAAAAGAATTTTTTTTTCTTGTCAGATCATTTTCCACTATGTGACATAAATATTTACTAATTAGTAGTCTTATATGTATGTATGTATTTATTTATTATTATTTTTTGAACTTCTAAGACTATCATAAACATCACTGTATGCCAATAGGCACTAGTCAACAAGGGATAATTGTAAATTTAGACGGAATGATATATTTTTTTCTTGAATATTCAAATGAATATCATTTTATTCCACTTGCGTCAGGTAGATGTTTACACGAATTAATCATACTGTTTAGTCTATGAAATACAATTTTGTTTATATTTATAAATTCTATGACCGGACAACTGTTCATTGTTTCCATGGTTTTCAATGTCAAAAAAAAATTATCATTTTTTAAAAATATTTATTCATTTATATTATGAAATGTTAGAACATAAAAAAGAAGAATAAATTATTATCCATGTTATCTATATTGTTTTCTTCTTTTTTCTTTTTTTTTCTTTTTTTTCTTTCTTCAGATTGCATGTATGAAATTACATTTAGCATATATGCCACTTGATCGTAATGTTCCAGCTGGACGTATTTCACAAATTTTAAATAAATTAAAACCTATTTTAATTTTAATTGCTAAAGATTATTATGATTTTATATATGATGATAAAATCAATAAAAATTATCATAATAATATCACATCATCTATTGATAATAATAATAATAAAAATCAATATTATTGAAAAAATTTTCATTTAATGATTTTATAATTGGTAATTTAAATGAATTAAAAATTACATTTCAATCATTTGATGTAAAAATATATGAATATATTAAATTAATGAAATTATCAAAATATTATTCTAGATCAGATATTTATACTGCATCTATTCCAATTAGAGTTTGTTTATTTCCATTTGAATCAGATCCAGTTGTATTGGTATTATTCACTTCAGGAAGGTAATAATCAAATTTTAATATATTTTATTATTTATTATCTCAATAGTTGAAATCATAAGTCAATTGAAATTAGACCACCATGGAAAACCTGGAAGCACTGAACGTCCGTTTCATTCTAGTATGAAACTCCTCAGTAGTGCGCATCTACAATCTCGCCTCGTGGGATTCGAACCCAGGATCTATCAATTCGCACGTGAGCGCTTAACCATTAGACCACTGTGCCGGTTGACATCCAACGGTGTTATTGTCTAACTTCAACCTATCTGTTCAAGAATTAATAATACATAAAGGGAAGTGTGGAATGAAAATGACCTTTGAGTGACTTTGAAGTGACCCTGAGGATGCCCCACCTTCTAACTAGGACTTAATGAGGGTTATAAATCAGTGTGTGGAGTTAAAATTAAAGTTGATGATTAGACTTAGGAAGTAGATTTAGGATTTTTATTACGAACTGACATAAGCTAAAGTACCAAAATGCTATTTAGCCAAATAAATAAATTTCGAGCTGAAATCCAACACCTGGTTTCCTAAATCTGATTGGTTTATCTATAGATTAATAGTCTTGCCAAATGTTCAAGATTGAATCGATGTTAAAAGTTTGATCAATTTTAGGATAAAAAATCAATTTCAATCTACATGAATAATAGATTATAATTGTGCTATTAAATTTAACCAAATACTATTCGAGTTTATTTGGAATATTTGTTAAACAATAGTAAAATTTAACAAGTAATTGGCCAGTTGAACCAGATTAAAAAATTGCTGTGTATTCTGCTTTATACTTTTTATGTAGTCAGCCATAGATAAACAGGAAGGATATAATTAAATTTTAAAACAACTTGCTGATAAGTTACATCATAGACTGGTAATGACTGTTGTAGTGAACGAGAACCTAGGTGGGAAGATCAATTTATTATTTAATGCAAAATTACAGAATGCTTTCATAAAATGTAAAAACCATACATTCAATATGTATATCTTTCGTCAGTTGACTTTTACATGCTTTATGGTTCTTTCAATTCTTTTGTTATTACAACTTATTTCTGTTTCCTCTTCAACTGAATGTTTCAATCTTCTGTTTGCATGAATTCCACTTCCAATTTATGCTATACACTTCTTATATCTGTCAACATAAGTAGCATTCACCACACTGTAGACTACTCGAAATGAGGAACTACTGAACAATTGTTTCTTCCTTATATACAACTTCTTATTAATTCATTTAAACGGCCTTAAAATGGATTGAGTGCAACATCTTCAGGTAAAATTGATGCTGCTTAGTTAAAATGTCATTTCAATAGGTTTGAAAGAGAAAGTGATTCTCTATAATCCAATGTTGTTGTCAAGCATCCGGTTCATTCTTGATTAAGCATGACATTATATATGGTGATTTTGACTGATGTTTTTCTGATCTGTTGCTTAGACTAATGTTTCAACGAATGTGTGAATGTATTATGAATATTTATGAATTGTTAAAATTAAACGAAGGAGTTTTACCATTTCGTGAAAATATTTGTAGGCATACCTCTATCCATTTAGCTTAAAAAGTTTATTTAAAGTAGGATTAAGAATTACGAAATAAATTCATGAGCAATTTTATTTCCATTTTACTTACTTAAGAACTAAATGTTATCGTTAGCATGTGAATTTATGTATTAGGAGAAATATTCTTAAGAACTTTGATTGAAACTTGATAAATGCTGAATTATGTCAAACTGTTATTCAAAAGTCTTCAAACCACTATCAGAATACATATTTCAGATCTGCATGAATTGCATTTCTCATAACTGAATGCATATGGTAACCAATTAATTTCACAAATAACCTCATTTCATTGTGACCAATATTGATTGATGCTATTCTTTTATTTTTAGTACAAACTCTTGTCCGAAACCCGTAAAACTTAGAACAACTCAAATGTTTAATCGCTTAGAGTGGCAGTGGGACTCAACTTCAGATATGGATTTGCCGAACTTCGAAAATGCTACATGTAACTCAAATGTATCAGTTAGGCGCATTGGTTTAGCAAAAACGGCTTGGGGTTTCGTTGATGCATTTACTGAGTTATTCAGCTGTCTTTTAGCTGGAATACCGGTAGTTGTTCCTGGTGGATCAGCTTGTCCAAGTGAAAAGTCAGTAACTGATGTCCAGCAACTGATAAACCTTACCAAACACTTTAAAATTAGTCATATTACTACAGTTCCTACACAAATGAACCTGTGGTTAAAACAGTTACGCTTGAAACCAAAAGAAATAGTAACAAGTCACCTGTCCAGTTTGCGAACAGTGATTGTTAGTGGTGATATAGTTCATCTAAAATGGCTTGTGAGTTCTTCCAGTTATTCAAAAACCCAGAAATGCGACTAATAAATCTATACGGTACAACTGAGGTAGCTGGCGACGTAACTGGTTTAGTATTTCGTAGTGAAATAGACGTGATGAAGCACACAAAAGTTGTACCATATGGTTTAGAAAGGGAAAATAATGAATCTGGAAAACCAGTATTATCCGTCGGTACTGCAATTCAAGGAACAGCCATTTTTATAGTTCAGAATGATGATGATGATGATCATCTTCGTCACGAAAAAGACGACGAAAATCAGCCAGACAAGTGGTCTAATCCATCATTATCGATTATTGGATCAGTAGACCGAAAACCTAACTGGGATAAATTTCCGTTTAAACTTTTGCCTAAAGGACATATCGGTCATGTATGCATACTTGGACAACAGGTTTCCGACAGTGCAAGTAGCTGTCAACGTATTGAGGCTTTGCCAGAAGACTTGGATTGTGTGGATACAAACAAGTGCAAGTCAGATGTAGAGTCATGTGAAAATAACAGTTCAAAAGAAATTAGTGTGTTTATGCCAGGAGATTTAGGATTTATTGATCCTCAAACCAATCACTTATACATATGTGGTCGAACTAATGAATTAATCAAAATCAATGGAATAAGATTTCATGCAAATGATATAGATAATCTATTTATTGAATTAAAGAAGAACTGGAAAGCTAAAAATATGATAGGCTGTACTAGAGAAGAATTACTTGTAAATAAAGTTTCAGAAACAGTTACATTAACAATACAAACTGTACATGGACGTGATTTAAAACTAGTATGCTTTTATGTACTTCATATGAATGAGAATCGAAACACAATGAATATTGAGCCCAAAGAGAATCATGATAAATTAGAAGATCTACCTAAACAAGATGACTTTATTGCTGTATTTAGTCATTATTTACCACCATATTTGTCACCTACCTTCATAAATGTAAGTTAAATATGATTACATCTGACATTTCAATGCACATTAAACTCAAAAAACAATTGATTTATTCGTAAAAGGATATCAGATTATTGTTTGTAATTCTTTCTTCAACATGCAGGGCAGAGTTTAAATGGTTTAATTTGTTTATACTGGTTGACGTTTTCTTAGCAAGACTGTTTTTGCACGGGATGTGGATGTTGACCTCACGCTCAACCCTCTTCCTTTACTTGGGTTTGGAACTGACAGTAGCCGTAAAAGTGCTACATGAGGAGTTGTAATAAACCTTGATCATCGTTTAAAATTTTTTTATTCCAAACAATTTGCGTTTTACTCTCCTAATACATATAATTGAAAAATATTCAGTAAATTATTCTGATTTTCAATGAATTCAATATATCTACTAATCTACCCTAAAAGTTTGTTAAATATTGATTGCATAGTTAATACGCTTATATAAATACATAATAAAGATAATCTCACTTCATAAAATAATGTAGTCTTATGCTGAGTAATTATTAGACTTTATATGACGGTTCTCAGTTCATACAGAATATCGTAACACCATCAAAATTGTTAATATTACGTCAGTCGATAATGTTCTGTGATTGTTTTTGTTTACTTATTTCTCTGAACAATTTTAACTCTATAATTTATGATGATGTTTTTAATGTTCTTTTCTGAAAAAGTATTTCATTCATAGAACATGTTAAATAGAATGAATTATTAATTAATTTACTTTTAATTTTTCAAACATTTATCAGATTGACCATATTCCACTGATGAGAACTAGTGGGAAAGTTGACAAAGAGTATTTACGCCAGTATTATTACTCTAAACATTATTGTGAAATTTCTGAAATAACGAAAGTTCTACAACCTGGTTGGGTAAATGATCCAGTAAAACATATGACAGAAAATAATAATAGTACATCTGACCAGTCATTTGGTAAAAGTTCAAGAGATTTTAAGTTAAGTAGAGATCGAGAACGTGCAAGAAAAGTTCTAGCTGAAGTACTTGGGATTCGTGGACCAAATGGTGATGTTATACCTGGTAGACCAAAAGATGACGAAGATTTTTATTTACTTGGAGGTGATTCTTTACTGGTAAGAAAAATGTAGCTACTAGTAAACTATTATTTTTAAAATATGCAATAAGTTAGTTCCTTTATATGACTTTGTCATATTAAATTAAAGCGACTTTGTTCATAATTAATGTAGAAAGCTTATATTCATAACTCACTGTTTATCAGATGATTTTCACTGAGTTAAGTGATAAACTTGAATATCTCTATGAAAATTTTGCTAACATACTTAGAACAACTCTGATGTCGGATGAATTGTAGTACTTCAAAAATTGTGGTTCCTCACAGTTCTCCCACCTCCATGTTAAATGAATAAGTCATTACTGCCTAGAGAGAACGGAAGAGTCTGATCGATGTTGATGTGGCAACATGCCATACGAACCGTTTCTCAGAACACTCTACTCGGTGTCCAAGATGTCACTGTATGCTAGAAACTGGGCTTCATCGACTTCACAGATTATTTCACTTACATCAGGGTTCTTGCTTCTAGTGAATGGGACTATTCAAAATAGCATCGGGCTGTTGTTCTTAACTCGTTAACGTGCCCCATTCACCAGGTTTCTTAGTCTTTAATCAAATTTTATATAACATCCTTACCTGAGGATCTAAGATTATCATCAAACTTGTGATTCACATAGGTAAACTGATATGCTTCAAGGATTTATAAAGAACCTGTAGAAAGCCAGAGCTTATAAGCTGGATATTTGACGGGGCTGCAAAGAATTTAAATCACGATTTCCATGATGTCATAAAAATGCAACCAATACCGATCTACATATTCTGCTGAAAGGAAGGTCATTCTTGAGGCTAACTTGGGCTAATAGTTGGTTGCAGCAGAATCTACACCCAATCCACTTACATTGATCTGCTCAAGACGAGACGTTTGGAGGTCACTAAAACAAATGATAAGACTGGAGTAAACCAAACCATGAGTGAAGTTCAAATAAGCACTCCAAAAAGAGTGAAAGTCTTGTATATACTCAAGACAGAGGTATTTGATAGCAATGTAACCAATCTAAGTCCAAGCTTGGTTTTAAAACGAGGATGATAAGTGGTACGTCAGCGATGAATGTGTCGGGAATTGTTGCTGCTAAGAAACAGATTTTAATCTACTTAAAGTTTCGGTAACGGCCACTATATTATATAACCTGTGATCAATGAGACCCTATTGGCTACTCAAGCGATTCTGCTGGGTTCCTGGGTGCCTGATTTGCCCATTCAAAGCTGTTGTCCTTACTATAGTATCTATCGAAGGTACCTTCCTGAGATTACTAAAGTGTTGGCAGAACTCACCTTTGGTTACGTCCGGACTGCAATCTGTCTAGTTATAGGAAAAATTTACGGAACCACATTGTCTATACCGCCAATTTTTTCACGGTTTGATAAAACTTTCTTATCTAGCAGCGATCCAACTAATTATTATCTCCTGTTCTCTGGGGCTTAAAGCAAAATTGACGTTAGTCAAACTGGAAGAAGATTTTATAGATCTTCAGTATAAGCACTCGCGAAACAAACCTTTCGAGTCGATAAACATTGAACGTTTCTTAATACTTCACTTGATTCTTGAATGCTCAGCAAACATCAATGTCAAGATTTTCCGAAAACATAGACAAACCCATGTGTTGTGTTATTTGCAATACTATTTGAATGTTGAAGGAGTTCAATTTAAATCTACCAACCCGGATGTTAGCCTTACGTCCCCTTATTTCATAAACAACACTCTCGCCGCGAGAAAGAAGTGAATGGGACTTCTCTAGAAGACTTTATAAACTCATGGGAGTATATGAGTATTTCGAGAGGGTGAGAGAACTCTCTTCATCCTCACTCATGCCGGAGCATTTGGAGGCAATAACAATACTGAGGAAGGATCCAATTACAGAAGAGGGCTGACAGTGGAATCCAGGACGTGCGTTTCGTCCTATTTGGGAAATGAAGAGAAGACTAGCATTATCTATGAGATAAATTGTATCAGCTGCTGAAAGCACTATATAGAACAAAGTGACTGACTTCTTTGCATATATCTATATGAACACCAGCTAGTTGTTAGACGATACGACGTAGATGAACTTATATAAATGTTGTGATATTGGACCAAGGAAATACAAAGAATGCCAGAGAATTTTTAGAAGCCTAGAACTCTAGCATGAATCTATCAATCTATCAAACAATAAGAAGGATCAACAAACACAAGATCAGAATTCAGGTCAGGAGAGAAAATAACCATAACAAGAGTATAAATAACGACCACAAAGTTGTTGATAGCAAGCACCCAAATTTCAGGTCAATAGCACAAGCTGTTAGTCAGTTAAGGAGAGATTCGGGTACCTAACTTCTCTTTAAAGTACCTGCTGGTGATATTGTTCAGAATAACAATGAGAATTTTACAGTCAGTCCACCCAGCTCAGAGATCACAACTACCCCAACATCCCCATCATGAGCCAAAAATATTCTCCATCATCCTTAAATATTCAAATTATTGTTATCTACATTATTTGGTTTAAAATAATAATGATGAAAACCAAGATGAACAGCCTCAATTAGCCTAATAACTGATATTGTTGCGTAATTTATTTTTCAGACTGTCCTAGCCACAGAACAATTAAGACAGCTTGGATTTAATGTAAATCTTGATGTATTCACTAAGACAGGAAAGATTGGGTCGATTTTAACAAATCTTCAAAATACCGAGTCGGATTTTCTAAAAACTCAGGAGCCGTTCACCTCGGATCCATGGACAGTGAACAAAATTTCAATGAATAAAATTTTGAAAAAATCGCATACATGTAATTTGATTAATCGAATACCACTGGTGGAAGATGAATGTTGTTTATCACCCGTAAGTAGGTTAGAACGTTTTCTACAACTTTATCAATATGACTGCCCGAAAATTAAAACCTCCACTATTGTTAGTATAATCAATTAGCTCATCTCCTTCCGTTTGTATAAACGGTTTATGAATCGAATTTAAATTCAATGCCAATTATGCATAGAGTAAAATATGTACTTCCGGATTACGTTTTACGAAATATTACGTTTTATTAAGCTGTGCTCATTAGTGACTAATATCTACTTGTCAGTATGGGGTTGTTGAAATAGTTGAAGTTCACTGAAATTATAAATTGATCTAGGTTAGACCATCGTCGAAAACCTGGAAGCGTTCGCACGCAAAATCGAAGTTCATGCGTTCGATTGCCACATGTGGGGTAGTAGATCCAAACTTCTGAAAGTCTCACACTTAGACGAAAGGGCTATCTAGTGCCTCCAAGTTTTCAGTGGTGATCTAAACAAGATCAGCTCATGATCTCAATGTAATCTCTATTTGTTGTTTTAGATAATAATGATTGCAAATTACTTACAAGACAGAGGGCTATAAAACGTATTTATAAGTTACGCTACTGGGCTTGATCTTTAAGTTTTTCATGGATAATCATTATTCTGAAGTCTCATAATAAGACGAAATCGCTTTCAAGTCACTCCTGATTTTCAATAGATATCTATCTAACATCAATCCTTGATGCAGAGTTAACTGTTTGATCAGATGACCATAAATATTATTAATCAATCTTGTGGTTTAGTTTTGTCGTTGACTAAACCTGTTGACCACTTTTATAGTTTGATATCCACGTTTTATTATCTGATAAATTAGATATGCCTTTGAAATTCCTTGAGCTTTAAATTTATACAAACAGTGCATTAATTTTAATAAACTATTCTAAAAATCGTCTATTTGTGAACGATTTGGTGTAAAGTAATTGATAGTTCACCAAACTTTTCTAGTTGTTACAATGTTTAATAATATACGAATCTTGTAACAAATACCTTCAGTTAACTTTGAATACTTTTCTATTCTTTATACAGACAATCTGTCCTCAGGGTAGCTACGAGATTTTTATTGAACAGTGGAATGATGGAAATTTTAGTGTAACTGAGAGACATGAAATTGTCGATGTTTTAGTTAATGCATTTATTGAAAAAGACCGCTTGTCTCATGCACTAAAACTGGATCGGACAGATTTAACAGAAGCGATTGAAGTATTCCTGAATGCTCATAAATCTAATCCAGGGATCGTATTGACAGCCAGATATTATTATGAGAATCCATATGAACACACGTTTGTAAAAAATAAATTAGTTGGTGTCATAATCAGTCTTCCAGCTAAGCATGTTCCTCTGCTTCACCAAACACCAAAACTAGCATTAATTCAACAATTTTTTGACGAGTGTAGTAATGAAGACCAATTGAAGATATTTCAATGGATAATTTACTTGCTACTCAAATGGTTGCCATTACATCTCAATCCCCATACAGCAAATCAAAATATTTACAGTACATGTTATCTAACTGGAAGAAAATATCACTGAAACTATTGACCAGATTAGAAAGAGATTTGCTGAGAATTGCTGCTAAACAGGGTTATTTAGGTGTCATAACCTTCAATACAAATGAAGTGACTGAAGTAAGTCCCATGAAAGAATTTTCAACACTACATTCTAGGTGTCATCAAATCTAAAATGTGCAATTCACTTTTTCAGTTGAGAAATGAGTAGGTATTAATTTTCGTCTTAATAATTCGGGACAAATATTACTGATATTTAAGGATTTACGTAATAGGAGTCTTCTTAGTAAGGATAAATGAACTATATATTATTAATTTTTGCCAACTAACTTCATCTAAAATGAATTTTAGGAGTATTTAGCTTAACATGATTCATAAAACAAAATCAGATTTATAAGCAAAGATGGATAATCTTTGCTTATAATGTTTTTAAATTAAGGCAATATCGAGGCATACGCACAGTATGCACATATGCCAATAAGAGACTGATCAAGTTCAGTCCTAAAACATCAATGGGAAGATTCAAGTAAAACAATACCAAGTGAATTAAACTTCACCCAATTGCACAAGCAAGTGGCTATCAAGACTCAGTAGCTAAGTGGAAAACGCGATGGTGTTTGAAACGAACGGTACTGAGTTCGAGTCCCAGAGTGAACATCAACTCTGAGATGCAGGTACATCTGGCTGACGAGTCCCAAATGGGACGAAAGGCGCGTCCTGGATTCCACTGCTAGCCACTATCCATCTTTGCTTATAAAGCGTTTATAAAGCTTGTGAATTACGTCAATATCGAGGCAATACGCACAGTATGCACACATACCAATAACAGACTGATCAATTGTAGTCTTAAACCTCAGTAAGAAGATTCAAGCAAACAATACCAAGTGGATATCAGATTAAATTTAGTTGAGATAAAATAAAACAAATCGCTATTCAAGTTTAGATAACGTTTATAGTTGACGAAAATTATTATTCTATGTATTATTATCATTATTATTTAATTTCTGTAATTAATTATCATATTCAAAGAAAAATCGTGGAATATCAATTTCACTATTTGAAATCATGAGTCAATTAAAGCTAGATAACCATGGAAGACCTGGAAGCACAGGACGGCCGTTTCATCCTAGTACAGGACTCCTCAGTATTGCGCATCCATGGTCCTGCCCCGCGAGATTCGAACCCAGGACCTATCAGTCTCGCACGCGAGCGCCTAACCATTAGACTACTAAGGTGGTCTAGCTTCAATTGACTCATAATCTCAACTAGTGAAATTTCTAAAATCTCCACAAAACCCCTTCTGAGAATAGCAATTTACTTTTCTATTTACTTACGCCTGTTACTGCCAATGGAGCATAGGCTACCGACCAACATTCTTCAACCCACTCTGTCCTGGAAAAATAATAAAATTTTACAGGGTTTCAAATGAATCATTACGTAACTCTATCATTGAATAGATAAATTAATGATCATAAAAATTTAAACATTGAAAATGTATTCAGTCAACCATAGTTAATTGAATCTATAATTTAATCATAATTAAAAAAATGTAATAAGTTATAAGGTAATATGATTAATTAAAAGAAAGTGTTGAATGACCTTTTTATCAGTATAAAGTAAAGTTGATGTAAAGTTCATCATTATTATTATTGAACACAATCCACACGTTGAATAATTGGTTGCTAATACTTGAACAAATGACTAATACATATGATTTACTTGTAATTAATTAATTAATTAATTTTTATTCAATATTTAATTATGTAAAATCATATTTATTTATTTATATTATTCATGTTATATAACTAATTTTTTTTTTAGGAAGTATGTTCTCAATTAGGCTATAAAGTCATTCAAACAACTATGTTAAAATCTTTTATGAATAAAGAAAATCTATTATTATTACCCCAATATGAACGTATACGATGTTCATATATGATCAAAGAATTAATCCCTCCTCCTAAAAGAAACATGAATTAATATATAAATAAATAAAAATTAGAAAATAAAAATTCCTTTGGATAACAAATAAGAGATACCGTAAAAAAAAACACAACAAAAAATAAACTGTTATTATCAATCATTATTCAAAATATTCTCCAAATATTTCAACATTTCATTTCGTTAACGAAAAACAACAACAACAACAAAGAGAAATTAACTCATGATAACTTATGATTATCAAGTGTTTTCTTTACTTTTCTCTTTTATTATTGTTGTTTTTATTACTTTTTACTCTTGTCATTATTATTACTATTATTATTATTGCCATCGCTTATTTATACAGTCTAGTTGAATCATTTAAAGAAGAAGAAGAACAACAACAACAACAAAACTTACATTAAAAAAAAATTCATTTTCTATTGATTTTGTCAGACAAATAAACAAATATATATATATATATATATATATATATATATATAAAATGACATTTGAACAACTATTTGTTTTAATGACTTCTTTATTAATTCATAACATGTTATGGGGAAGCTAATGTTAGTATATATGTATTTAACTGAATTATGAATAAACTGAAATACATAAAAAATGAATCGGAATAACATAGAATATGTTTTTCTTTCCCTCTTGAATGACATTACGATACTACACTGTAAAGTTGATTTAAACCAAACAAATAAACAAACAATATCTAAGTTTATTTGTTAAAATGATTAGTGAAATAATTTAAATCTTTATATTATTTTAATTTATTTAGTTGGGATATTAAGTGACAGAATAAAATAGAATTAATCATAATCTAAGAAAAAAAATTTGTTTTTTAAATGTTTTTCATAGAATATTGTTTACTTTTACTACATAATAGATTCAATAGTTTTGTAATGAATGAGAACATAGATAAGGACAATTGAATATATTTCAACATAAAATTACAGTACATCTTAATAACATCTGAGAATTATACAATACAACTCATAAGAATTAATACTATTAAATTGAAGTTTATTATTCATAGTTGTTCTTATATAAATAAACGGGAATATCATTAAAATATGATTTATCATAGTAACAAATTATGCTACTTTTTATTGATTTTCGTTAGTTTAGTACTTATTCATAAATTGATTTAATTTTGTTTAGCTTCAATTCATGATTGAATGTAAATGGTTTATTGTGTGTAATCAGTCTACTAATTGTAGTGATGTCAGAATTTTACAACTAAATAACCTGTAATACAATATAAATTAGTAGATTCCTATTCTGACACCAACTATATTAAGGTTTACCAACTTTGATATAATCCGCCGAACTAAAATTCTCAAAATAAATCCACTTTAATAACGATTAATTCTTTGAAACCACTTTTTCTTTCTAAAGACTACAGTTATTTTTAATAAGCTGCTTCGGTCAATAAAGTATACTTTTTGTCCGGTTGTTATACCATGAGTAAATTCAATGAGATTAAAATCCTAGTACTTGAGTTGCGTTACACCATTCCATCTACATTACTGACATTTAAGGACTCAATGAGCATGATGTGACTAATGGACATTTGCCTAACAATCCCTAGGATCTCGTTCCCAAGCAAAATTTGTTCTAGATAGTTTACTATAGACTACGTAATAGAATGAAGAGAATACACACAATTTCTCAGTTCAGTAAGATGGTGAAATATTAGAAAAATCAAATAACTGTCTACTCATTAGAAACTGAAGATTTAGTTTCGTGTCAGAGTAAACGATTTAATCTCTAAACCCAATTATATTTCAGGTAACTAAATTTTTATGTTTTGACTACTTGCAGCTTTTAAGTAGTAATTATAGAATAGAACTAATTAGTATCAATGTTAAAATCTTTCGACAGCTGTATCGCAAGTAATGGTTATCCTAAACGTTTCTGGAAGGCACTAAGGCGAAACCATATTCATCCCAATGCAAAAAACACTCAAACGTCATGCACTCAATTATATCGATGTTATTAAATCTCGAATAGTTGAACTAGGTAGCAACATATCTCTAAGAAGTCACGCATTGTTTGAACTGTCGTTAGATGAACGTAAACAGTTTGAGGATTATGTTACTAATGTTACTGAAAAACAGTAACAAAAAGCTAAAAGTAAACACTTGGAAACATTGCAACACGTAGACGTGGTTAAGAAGTTTCCAGAACATCCTGATATTCACTAAATCTATTGTTATCATTCGTATTACGTATTCTAGTGTCATATTCATTCTATTACGTCATCATGGTTATTCGTGTTCACATTTCCTCAAGGAATTAGTACTTTAACAAAATTTTCATATATATATATATATATATATATATATATATATATTATATTTATACGATTGTACAGCTTGATAATAAATTCGTTGAGAAAAAGATCCCTTCGCTGAACTTCATGTTTTCAATTTTTTAATGTTTAAATGGGAATTATCTGTCAAAATCTTTTTTAGTATGAAGAAGGCTTTTCTAACCTAAAATTCAAATGATCACACATTATAGAAAACTAAGAGAATCCTTCATAGATAAGAAAGAATCTGTACTACGTCGATTCATATGCCCGTAGATTTTGAATTCAACAAATGTTTACACAAATAACAAAAACCATCGTATAAATCAAACTCTTTTAATGAATTGTAAAAAAAATGATAATGTCTATGTTGATAGTATCAGTCTAAATAATAAAACCAAATATATGTTCATGACAATAATTTAGTTAAACGCCTATCGAGATTTTGGATTGTATTCATAATAAACATAAATTATACAATTAATCCATCTTGATTATACCATCAGATTCATATAACTTCTGTCTCTATGACTAATGAACATAGAGAAATTTATGCTCTTTCTCTCGGCCTCAACGTCATTAAATTGGTCAAACCTCGAATCAAAGTTTATGACTAACACAGAAAGATGAGCTTAACTACAGACTAATAGGTATAAATTCATTTATTGTGCCTATTTAGAACACTATACAAAAATGGCATCTGAGAGAATGGTAACAAAGTAACTGAAGCATCTTTTTATCATGCTTTCAACTGATAGCAAAATGATGAGCATCTAAAAGTGAAGAGTTCGATGAAGAAAATTTAACTTTAAAATGACAAAAGACAAACATAAAAAATAATAAGCATCAAGATAAAACTACAGCCAAAAACAATCCATTACGAATTTGATGTTTAATAAATTAATGTTGTACTTTTAACTATCAAAATACTATGGCTATGAACAGTTCATTTTAATGTAAATATATACAGATCAGATGAATGTAATTACTAAAGGGAATATGATTGAAAGATTTGATATAATTTGCTAATTTCTAGTCAAAAACCACCTTATTTAAAACTGCTTCCTTACATTTTATCAACTTAGACAATAACAATTAGGTTCACTTGGTATTGTTTTACTTGAATCTTCCCATTGATGTTTATGACTGCAAGTGATCAGTCTCTTATTGGCATATGTGCATACTGCGTGTATTGCCTTCATATTGCCTTAATTTACAAGCACTACAAGCAAATATTAATAGTGGCTAGCAGTGAAATCCAGGACGCGCGTTTCGTCCTATTTGGGATTAGTCACCTGGATGTACCGGCATCTCAGAGTTGATGTTCACACTGGGACTCGTCCTGGATTCCACTGCTAGCCACTATCGATCTTTGCTAATAACAATTAGGATTTACCTTTTACATTAAATTAAGACATGATATAAGATCATGTCATTAAATGTTGAACTGAGTCATTTTGGGAGATTAAAACTTCTGAGTAGATTCAATGCAATGATTGTTGTCATTAGTTACAGGCTTTAGGTGTTTTGACCCGAAATCAGTAACCATAAAGCAAACATCGTCATCCTCTGTTTTCGAAATTTTTTGTTATACATTATTTTACTCTTGTTATCCTCGTGTTTTTACATAGAATTTTTGTAATTACAATTCTTATACTTAGTTTTCCTCTATTACTGCTATCACATCAAGTCTTAAGCTTGTTATCTTTTTAATCTACTCTTATTGTGCTGACATAACTTGCAGCAACTTGTGTTTGCGCAATCCTAGATATTAGGTAATTAGTAGTTACTAACTTTGTACTGTAACGTAAAGAAAGCTATTTGAGAATAAATGTAACAAGTAAAGAATGTAGATTTAGATTGCTAACTGATAAAAATAACGAATAGTTTCTATGATTTCAAGATTTTTTATGTACTAAGTCATAAAACGGTTTTAAAGATTATTAATCAGTATAATCTCTTATTTTAAAAGTAATTAAGGAGCGATTAGTTTCACTTTAAAGTTACACTAATATGGATGAAAACAAAAACAAAAATGTTTTGCTTAGAACTTCTCTAATTACTAAACGTATCATGTTTATATTGTCTATTCCAACTGAGTGGTTGACCTCTTAAATTTCATTTAAATACAAACATGTGTCGCAACAATAATAAAACCGAAGTGAACATTGAATGGCTACTGAGAAATAATTAGTGTAATGTCTGTTTAGTCATTAGTAGTGATAGAATTTTGAAGCTCAAATGACTATGTGAGCACTTATCTAATCGATTCTAAATCACTTGCTCTAAACTTTGATAACACTTGGTTGGAGCCAGTTTGCTGAGAACCATGGTAAAAGGTTTTGTGTTAGTTAGCATCCGTTAGCAAAGCTCACTTTCAATTTTGAAGGAACTGATATCTTTTAAGAGATCCAAACCTAACAAACTAGAATTGATTGCTAAAATTATCTAATGTTAATTGCTAAGATATATCTACAATTCCATCATGACCTAATATATGATTTTATAGTCATAGTATATTCATCACGAGAGATAAGCTGGATATATAATGGTCTAATTCTGTTTTGGAAATTTTATTACATAATACATTCTGGATAAAGAAATAACAACGTTTTTCCATTTAAGCTTAAATTTCCATTCTATTATTAACTATAATATTATACTTCAACTAAAGAAATTACTTTGCCACTAGGTTGAAACATCTTATCAACTTTCCAATATAAACAAAATGTTGTAAAAATATGTAGCAATTAGTCCCTTTGGTAAATTTCGATAGTGTAATAATCAAGACGAACATTATCAGAACTATGTGATGTATGGGCGTAATACATTTCGAACAATCTGATCACACATATACTTGTTAAGATCATTTACATATGAAAATAACCGATAACTAGACTAGAAATGGGTCGGGGGGGTTATAGGAGACATGGATAATAAAGAAATAATGTGAAAACAATTTGAAAGCTCATCACTTTAGATAATACGGTAATATTACCGGGGTAGGTGAATATTTTGAAAAAAAGAATCATTTGAATTATTTTTAATTAAGGTAAATTTCTTACTGT